AATCAATAGTTCAGTACCATTTTATGTTAACACCTGGTGGGAAAAAAATTAAAATATTAAAGTCCTTCTTAAAAGTACTCAAAAGGCAGATGGACAATTCTCAAGAGTTAAAACAAATGGCTAAAAAAAAGATCTGAAAAAGGTTTTCATCGTCACTAAAAATACAAGTGGAAATGAACTGAGATACCATTTTTTCATTGTTTAAATTAGCAATGATTGAAAAATAACCACACACAAAGCTCAAGAGGAAGCATCAGAATGAGTACTCTCACACAGATGATGTGGTGACTGAAAGCAAACAACACTCTAGGAAAATAATTTTGCGATGAGTCATTGGCCATAATGCTTCAACCAATCCCGTGTGGCAGGAAAAGGCTTCCTCTCTTAGAAACGAGCCCATTATTTCCCAGTGGATAATGTTTGTGCATGTTTTTGAGAATTTTTGTAAGAGTTTATTTGAGCCAAACTGACATATATTCCGGGGAGCAAGATCTCAAAGGCTCTGGATAATGTAATTTCATTTTGGTTTGGTCAAGTCAAAGCTCAAAGACAAATTTGTGGCTCAACTTTGGGAATCAGCAAGTTACATTTAACTGTACGCTAAACCTTAATCTCTTATTCTATCTGTATTACTCCTGATTTTTATTTTATGTGCTGTTCCCATTTTGTTTTGTATATCTCATCTTGAATGCCATGAAATATCTATGAAAAGAGGCAGAATATAAACAAGTAAAATATAAGGACAGAGAAAATGAACCTTCCAAGGATCAATCATGTTATCAATCTTTTCATTGCTCATTGCTCTTTCAAAAAGTGAATAATTTAGCCAAAAGTGAATTTGGCCTCATGTTACAAAGCTAAACATCATGCAGGTTCAATGAAAGTACATCTAACCTTTTTGAGACACAGCAATGCTATTTTAAAGCCTCTGTTTTAATTTTTAGTGGAGCTATCACCGTGCCGCTAAAGGATGTCAGGAGATCACAGTCACTCAGTTGGACTGAGGCTCTTCTGAAGCACTATCAACATCTTCTTATGAGCATCTAATTAGATAACCCATTCCCCAACTTTTCTGTCCCAAAGTCTAAGATTCTATTGAATTCAACCAATGACAGGTTAAAAACCTTGGTAAGTGACAGGTGACAGAAATAATGATGTGATGTCTCCCAGCTCATTTAACAAAAGCTCATCTAAATTTTCTGAGATAAATACCTTTGACTTGTCAAGAAAGGTATATAAAAGACAATTATGTAGAACACAGAGCTAAAAAATGCCATGCGACCAGCATGAACCACAACCACAGCAAATAAGCAATAGAAGAGAACATTGTGCACAACATTTTAATGTTTAAACTTCAGCTTTAATATCTATTTTTTTTTTTAATGAACAGTGAATGCTTTTCATGTCATTTAGCTGTTTTTCTAAGAAACAACCATGGTAGCCCTCTCTCTTTCTAGCACAGAAGGCCACTTTGTTACTTAATCCAATGTAATCCTGAGCAAGTTATTTAACCTTTCAGTTTTGTGATCTGTAAAATGGGCTGGCAATAACCCTCATCAGGATTGCTGGCAGGATAAATGAGGTAAAATATAAAAAGCACTATTACAGTGAAAGGGCTCAGCATTTGACATGGCTTATTACTATTTGAAGTATTACTGTCCTAATCTATAAAATGATGTAAATGGTACTAGCTCACTGTTATGAAGATCAAATATGGTAATGAAAAAAAAAAAAAGAAAATGAACACAGATGCCAATAAAAGCTGTACCACATAAGGGAGAAACAATCAGGATTGTGATGAGAAAGCAGTTAGCAAATCATAAATTCTGCTAAACTATTTCAGACCGTATGAGTCACCCGGAATAGAACAAATGACTTTTAAAAGCAATAAAACATGTTGGGACTTTATCCAATGACAACTGTAAAATTAATATAAAATTTGACAAGAGGTTTGGCGCTCCTGAATGCAGCCGCCTTCCAAAGACTGTTGGGTGAGATTAGATGTTTCAAGTTACAAGACTTCAAGCTCGGCCCCTTATGTAATTAACATTTCTTAATCCTGAGCCCTTGAGGAGGCAGCCACTGTTCTGGGATAGCCCTTCCTGGAGAGAGGCTGCCTCTCTGTAGGAAGCTGACAAGAGCCTCACCCTGCTCCACCTCTCCTTCCCCTGCAGCCCCAACACCCCAGGAATTTCCCTTCCCTTTGTCCACCTTCAACACTGGGGCCAAGCCAAGCGTCTGTCTTCATTATCTCTGTAGTGCAGAGGACCCTCCCTTCCTACTTGTTAATTTCTCTCCCTCCCGTCCCTCTCTTCTGCCACCACCTCCCCCTCCCCCCTCCCAGCACCCCCATGGCCTCCATTCTCCCCGCCAGGAACTGCCAGAATCACACACACTGCCTTCCAGATGCAAATGAGCACACAGAGCCTGTAATTCAACCTGGGTGTTGGGTGGATCTGGCCACGCTCCCATTTTTAAAAGCAAGTCACAAGTGGCCAAAGCTCAGGACAGACTGCACACTCAAAGGTTAGGTGCTTTCCTTTTTCAGGCAAAGATTTCATTTGCTCACTCTCAATAAAAGACTGGTAATTCTATCTCAAGCAGGAAATCCTTTGTGCACTTTGAAATGAGGACTCCAAAGCGGAAAATAACAACCAATAATGACAATCAGAGAGCCCTGTGACCACTGCCTCCTGGCCCCTCAGGAAACGTTTCCACCCTCATTGGAGGAGATAACTGGCCTTGAGCCAACCTTACACACATTACAAGATATTCCCAGGATATTACAAGTAATTAACATCATTTGCCTCACTCCACCACCATAAAAGTTGGATTGGGGATGGGGGGAGGCGGTACCTCAGAAAATAAATGACTGAAAGAAACTTAAGCACCTGGTCTTTCAAGCATTTTCAGATCTTCAGAACAGAAGGAATGCTCCCCACCCCCAACTCCTCCAGTGGCCGCCACTGCTCTGCAGGTACAGAAGCTGGACTCGGACAGGGAGGGGACAACTGCCCTGCCATTCGCCTTGTGCAAGATGCCTATTCTAAGAGGATCATACTTTTAGACAGTACCTGGATTTCACAAGAGGGCTGGCCAGGAGACGGGGGAAGGAAAGCCTGGCTTGCAGTTTTAGGCAAAAAAGGAGAAAACAGGGAGCGTCCGAGGCCAAATAATCCTAAAGGTAAACCTAGGACCTTAGTAGTCCTTTAGGCTGGAGGCTTCAACCCAGGCCCCATACGTTTGGACTGCAAGTATTCTGCGTTCTGTTGGCATGTGATGCTTTTTAAAAAAATGTAAGCCTACACTTAAAACGTGGGAGATGGCCCGTGAAAAACAGATCTGGCAACACCGGCCTGTATTCCCTCGTGGCAGTGACAGCAGGCACAGAGGGACAGCTGCTCCCTGGGGCCCCAGGGGACTCATGGATTCCCCCCACCCTGGGTGCCTCTCCCAACCCAGGACTTCACTGATTTACTACTTTCCCTGCCTTTGAGGATATTTAAGTTTATGGCTCCTGATCAAGGTCACCCTAACATGTTCTAGAAATGAAAAAAAAAAAAAGAAAAGAAAAGAAGCCGGGGGTGGGGTGGGGCAGTCACTGACTGCAGATCGCAGCACTTCTCAGAGCGGAGCTGCTGCAGGAGAACCCCAACTCCACACACAACCACCCACTCCTGAACCGTAGCTTTTGGAATCCGAGGTAGGAAACTTGGAGCGGCATTAAGCAATACTCTATAAATATTGGAGGGACAAAAGCATATAAGGCAGGGTGCCTTCCTGAGGGACTTCTCGTGTAGTGGGGGCAGCTGGCATAGACACAGAAACTGGTCCCTGAAGCTCCCTCTCCCAGCTAAACAATCGTTGACCTTAGAATTCGTTGATCTTGCTGACCCCTTTGCCTTCATGGACTCGTCCAGGGGTGGGCAAACTTTCTGACTCGAGGGCCACAGTGGGTTCTTAAACTGGACTCAGAAGAAGGAGCTGCGGCCGTGTTTCCCGACGTTGCCATGTTAACACTGCTGCTGGTGAAGGAGCGGAGGGGAGAGCAAGAGAACCCTCTGCTCTTTCAGCTCCACGGGCCGGATAGAACTGCTGAACGGGCCGGATCTGGCCCGCGGGCCATAGTTTGCCCACGGCTAGACTAGTCACTATGAGTTATCATGTTCTCAAGTATCAGGCCCCGAGCTCTGTGCACACTCTGTACGTCTTCACCAGGATTCTGGGAGGTGTGCAGTACCAACACCATTGTATTGATGAGACAGGTAAGACTGCAGACAAGGGGACCCTGACAAGTGCAGTGGTTGAACTGCCCTTGAACCCAGGCCTTTCTGATCCCAGAGCCCGTACCTGGCAGCAGGCCTTGCTGCCTTGCAAATATTCACCATCTTTCCCAGTAACAATAATAATTAAAATAGAATTTACTTGGTCCTGAAAAAAGTTAAACAATAGGGTCCCAAGTAAAACATCAGAAAGGGGCTCCACCTCTCTACCTGGAATTGCCACTGAGTTTCTGTGTCTATGCCAGCTGCCCCCACTACAGAAGAAGTCCCTCAGGAAGATACCCTGCCTTACATGCTTTTGTCTCTCCAGTATTTATAGAGTATTGCTTAATATTAGTCAACAGCTTCCAGGTTCCATTTTTGATCCAATTTTACTAAAATGGGCCTCTTAGGAGGATGCATTTTATGGCCCTTCTGAGTTCTCAAAAAGTCCTGTCTTCTCTACACATCACTTCTCCCCTCGTCTAGTTTTACTCACCCACAGGAACGTGGACACCACAGTACACAAAATCTATAGGTATTTTTCTTTTTTTTGCAAACAAAACAAGTTGTGGTTATAGCATTTTTTCCTGTTATTTTTCCAAAGTAAGCCAGGCAAACATTCAACTCTAAATGATTAAAAAAAAAAAAAAAGAACATATATGCAAAGTACTTGGATGCCAAAGCAGGTAGTTGTTGCGGAAGTAGTAGCAATCTATGCATAATAGTAATACTTACAACCCATATGATGACCAGTCTTCTGGATAAATAAGGATCAATATTCCAGTGAGTGAACGGAAGAAATGTGATGTAGAACACTTCTTGACCCAAAGCAGCTGAAAATCTGAATAGGTAATAGTAGAAATAATTCTTCACAATGTACTTTTGTACATAAGCCTGAAAAACAAAAGTTAGAACACTGTGAGTTCATTGAACTTGCCACTAGAGGACAAACTTTGAAACCTCTCTATAAAACTCTCAGGTCTTAGTTGCCATGGTGTTGCCTCACCTCTCATTATGTCATTATGGCATTCTTACCATCAATGTGCATAGTTGTTGAACATCTATCAACCCAATTTGTCCACACAATCACAGAAAAAGTTAGTTCTTCATCAAATTAACTAACATCCAAGACAGTAATATCAGGGAAGATAGGAACATTGAAAAAGAAATAGGGGCAGGGTGGAGGGGGTCAACTGGGAGGGGAAAAGATCATCTGTAATACTTTCAACAATAAAGATCCAGTTAATAAGAAAAGAAATAGAAGAAGGTACCAACAGATGGAAGAATATGCCGTGTTCATAGATTGGAAGAATTAGCATCATTAAAATGTCCCTACTACTCAAAGCAATCTATATATTCAATGTAATACCTATTAAAATAGTTTACCTTTTAAGTGGGACAAAGAAGGTTAACCCACTACAGTGATGGTGCAAAAAAAAAAAAAGCAGTAAATATACACAGAGCCTGCTAATATACAGTCCCATTTCCCCTCTTATCCTGGAGTAGGCAGGAAAAAAAAAGACTTAAGGGGGTTAAAACAGGAATAAGCAATCTATTCAAAATATGGTGAACACCTTTAAATTATGGTTTATTAGTGATGAGCTAAGAAATAAAACATGCTATTTATAGTAGTCATAGACTTTATAAAATCAACAAAAAACACCAATGGGGAGGAAAAGAGGCAACCCAACCACAGGGGCAACTATGTCAACACCCTTGTAGGTCTGAATTTTCTGTTTTGTTTTATACAAATTCTGAGGTTTTTGAATCCTGGGGTAATTCAGAGAATAAGTTATCTGTATTTGTTCTGCACATACTCATTCTGTACCTATGATGGCTGAGAACAGCAGTTCTCAACCTGTGGGTCGCGACCCCTTTGGGGGTCGAACGACCCTTTCACAGGGGTCGCCTAAGACCATCCTGCATATCAGATATTTGTATTATGATTCATAACAGTAGCAACATTACAGTTATGAAGTAGCAACGAAAATAATTTTATGGTTGGGTCACAACATGAGGAACTGTATTTAAAGGGCCAGAGGGTTGAGAACCACTGGCCTAGAACCTGTGCTGGGTGCGAAGATTCAGATGAGTCAAGCATGACCCCTGGGTTTAAGGAGCTCTTCTCTGCTGGGAGGGAGGGAGAGAGCTAAACTGTATAATAATTTGGGGCAGTTAAATTTTAAAGGACCAATGTTGTGTTTGAAGCCTTGAAAAGGGCCAAGAGTATATGATATACTTAAGGAATAAAATAAACTAAAAAGATGACCTTGGAAATTGAAAGGATATAACCATACTTGACGCTGTTGGCTGCCTATCAAGTATACATTCCTTTCTCTAAGAGGTTCCTGATTTTATTCCAGGATCTCTACCTCCCCCACAGAGCCCTGGGACTCAGGGGAAGCTGCCACTGCTCTCAGCTCCAGAGGTGTATCTGGATTCATCTCCACCAGTCACAGAAAGTTCAAGAATTCAGCCTCAAACTGAGCAATGCATGGTACTACCTTGGAGAAAGTTACTATTCAGGGGCGAGCACGCACTGCAAGCTACAAGTTCATCTCTCTTAGGATGAACTTTAGCTTCTAAGTGAATTCAAATGAGAGAGAATGGCAATAGATCCACCGTAAACAGGAGAGATCAGAGTCTTCAAAATGAATGAAATAAGGAAGTGTGTAGTTTCATTTCTCTGCCAAGATAATGTTATTACTGGATTTGCAAAACAGGGACAAGGAACTGTGAACAAATAACTAAGTGAAAAACTCCTCTATCATCTCTCTGAGGACTAGTCTCTGCCAGTTCCATTTTATAAATGTACATGCAATGGGCCTGACCTTCAGGTAAACCCCGCGAAGAGCCCTCTCAGCATAAAGATTACTTTAACCTGCCAGCTACCAGGTACACCTGGTAATCTGTCCTGCACTGAAACTTTACAAGATCTTTTTGCCAAACTCTGACAAGGGTCAAACCCCTCTCTCATGTCATTTCATGGTTTTTCAAGTGCTATTGACATCATAAGTACTCAGTGACAACCATATCCCTTACCCTAGAGATTTACCTGAGGCCAAGTTCAATATCTTAATCCTAGTAAATAATTGAAAAGACCCTCAGTGATGACAGCAAACTGCTCTAGTGTTCCAAGTACTATCTTTAGATGTGCTTTTTACAATCTCTCAGGTCTCTATTTTTTGGGGGGGTGGGGGAAGGGAAAAAGTCTCCTAATGCCATCCTGCTTTTTTGGTCATAAGTTCCTCAAATGCATTCTTCTAAAGTGGGGTTTCCAGTAACTTAACCCGTGGGTCAGAGAAGAGCTACTCTATTTTGCCGTTACCAGGGTATTCTGTGTTCTCTGCAAGGCTGCCTTTGATGCATAAACCGATCAGGAGAGAGGGGGCACTACAGACTCGTGGCATAGGAAGAGAAAGAACACTGAGAATAATTAACTTCTGACTTGGCTCTGCTCTGAACACCTGAACAGCATTTTGTTTCCAAACACACACCAGAGTCCCAAATGCAAAGGAAGGACGGCCAGGTCAGTGCCACTGATGTGCTCAGGGCTGACCCAGACAGCAGGCTGAGCTTTCAGAGGAGGAAAACAAACTGTTTTTAGCCCAAACAATGTGTGACCTTGGGGAAGTCAATTGGTCCTTCGGAACTACAGCGGCCTCAGCTGCAAAGGACAGAGTAGCACTAATTCAGTTGCTTTGTGGTATACAAAATGTCTGAAAGCAGGGAGAGGCCCCTTAAATAAAATGGTACTCAGGGCCCATTAGATAAAATAATAAGACTGGAAGCCTGTACTCACTGGTTAAAAGTGAGGAGGGCCCCAGGGAATCCCTACTTCAGCCCAGGCCACCTCCAGCCCCCAGTCCTCCTCTGGAACAGCTCCTCAGAGCAGGTCAGTAATCAGTTTGGAAACCACTGACCTTCATCTCTGCCAGACCTCACGTACCACCTTCCTAGAATTTACCCTTCCTCCAGCCCCCAGTCCTCCTCTGGAACAGCTCCTCAGAGCAGGTCAGTAATCAGTTTGGAAACCACTGACCTTCATCTCTGCCAGACCTCACGTACCACCTTCTAGAATTTACCCTTGGCCCCGAGTACACAGGCTATAGATATTCCAAAAGTCATTGCAAGGTCTTATTACTCATCCCATTTGTTCAGGTTAGAGCTGTATTTTTCCAAAGGTCAAGTTTGAGATACTCCCGACTCTCAGCAGAGCCAGAGGAGTTTAGGTCCGGGAGGACATCTGCAGCTCTAAGCAGTTCTCTCTAATTGGAAGCAGGAGAGAGAGCTCATTCTCAGGCTGAGAGAAACCCAATGATAGAGACCCAGCTATACACACACTGTCTTACTGAAAAGCCATCCCAAGACCCAAAGCTCTTCGCTGGAACGCACCAAGCAGCCGTGTTCCGTTCACAATGGCTTTGCTTAGAGGAGCTTCAGAGGCGGGAGAGAAAGCAGCCAGTGAGTCCAGTGAACTGGCCCGGAGCACAGAGACGCCAGGAGGAGGGACGCCACAGAGCCCGAGGTAGGGAACGAAGACTCTGGAAGCAACGTGTCTCAGACCGAATCCAGGCTGCCCCACCACTTACTATCTGCATAATCGCAGCAACGCCTCAGTCTCCCAGAGCCTCAGTTTCCCCTCCCGAAAATGTAAACAATAGGACATACCACACTGGGATGCTGGGAAGCTTAAATCAGACACTGTTGATGGTGTGTTCAAAGCACCGTTCAGAGCCAGGCATAGAAACTTCTCAGTGACACAACCCCAGCAGTGAGGATTTCCAGAAAGTGCTTCTCTATGCGAATGTGCATTTGAACCACCTGGCTCTTGTTAAAATGGACACTTTGATGCAGTTCACCTGAGGCAGGGCTGATAGTTCTGAGTTCCCAGGTGATGCTTATACTGGAAATTTTTAGTCCATGGGCAGCAAGCTGAGTAGCAGGGATCAAACCCCCCAGTGAAGGGTGTTTGTTTGTTTTTTTATCACAAAAGCGGGTGTCTGATTTGATCCTCAGTGTTGGAGGAAGCCTCAATGGGAATTTAAGAGAGTTAGAGAATGTGAGCAAAGCAACAGGTAAAAATGACGGTGACAAAGCAGAAGGGAACAGTTAGTGAGTCCCAGGGAGGAGCTTAAAATAGTCCAAATGCAGGAACAGAGCCCAGACAAGCACCTTGATCACACAAGGTACTAAAGCAGTGTTTCTCAACCTTGGCTGCACATGAGAATCACCTGGGAATATTTTTAAAATCCTGATTTCTGGGCCTCATCCTCTGGAAATTCTGTTTCTTTGTTACTACAGTGGGGCCTTGACTTACGAGTGTCACGACTAACGAGTTTTTTGAGATACCAGCTGTCTCTCGGCTGATTTTTTGCATTGAGTTGACAGAGTAATTTGAGTTAACGAGCTCCTTAATGAGCTCGGTCTTGGAATGAATTAAACTCGTAAGTCAAGGACCCACACTAATGTTGTGGCCCCACCGCATAACAAAGAAACAGAATTTCTGGAGGATGAGGCCCAGACATCAGGATTTTAAAAAGATTCCCAGGTGATTTTAATGTGCAGCCAAGGTTGCGAACCACTGTACTAAAGGGAAGGACACACGTGAAAGAGGCCCCGCTGAATAGCAGCCGGAGCAAACAAGCAACTGACGACACAGAAAGCAAGCCATTTCCCACTCCTTGCCTTCATTCATGAGGGTTTTGCATAAATTCCTGGATGATGAATACCAAGTTAGTTAGGATTCCTGAACCTTAAAAAACACAGGAAAACAAACCTCATTTCTTGAAAAGGGTTTAACCCAACCTGGTAAATTGTCATTCTTAGGTACATCTGCAATAATACACTTTCAACCTGCACACTCATTCTCATCAACTCTCGAGGGTTGTCAC